TAGGCATTAAAGTGAACCGTCCCACATGGCCATCATAAACATTCCCCCAAAAGGTGAGGAGATCTCAAGGCACTTTGGTGCCAGGAAACCAGTTGTAAAATATCAGTTGTCCCAGGCACTGCTAATAAATCGACTCCAAGGCCCCCCTCCTCCCAATTGAATGGCAGCACCACTTTTAGGGACCTGACATGCTGCCTTCCTTAGAAAAAGGAGGGATCCACCTGTGAAAAGATAGGGGGGAAAATTCCATCATAGTATTTTAACAAGGTTTGTCAGGATATTGGGAGTGATTTTTTTTCAGTAAGTTAGGGGCCCTAACCTGGTGTTTAATTACCCATTCATTTTGGGATGAGGGTAGATGCTTGGATTTTCCTCCCTTCCTGGAGTCAAGGATTTCCTTGATTTCAAAGTGTTGTTCACCTCCTATCGTGATGGGAACAGGTGGTGTAGGTGCAGGTGGTCTGAGTGGTGAGATTACCTCTCCTTTGAATAAACTAATGGGAAATAAATACTGGGTGGACTTGCCTGAGTGTCTTTGGAAGGAGTAGTTCTACTGTTGCTACATTGATGACTCTAGTGATAGGGAAAGGTCCAATGAAATTTGGCCCTAATTTCTTTGATGGCTGCAATGACTTCAGGAATTTTGTAGATAAGTATACTCTTATCTCCAACATGGAAAGGTTTGGGTTCCATTCTTTTCTTGTCAGCTTGAATTTTAAAAGCCTCTGTAGCTTTCTCTAAAGCTAATCTAACTACTGGCCATGTGTTTCATAAAGTGTCTGTCCATTCTTTAAGTGAGGGGATAGTGGGCTCCTCTGTGGGTAGTTCAGGCATGGGGCTGAAATCCTGGCCTGTTGCTACTCTAAAAGGGGTAAAACCAGTGCTTGAGTGTACAGAGTTATTGAATGCCATTTCTGCAAAAAGTAAAAGTCTAGTCCAGTTATTCTTTTGAAACTTAATAAAACATCTTAGATATTGTTCTAATACAGAGCTAGATCTTTAATAATTCCTGTTAGTCTGGGCGTGGTATGACAAGTTCAACCGCTGGGCGGTGCCAAATTTAAAAATTCCATCCAAAATTTTGAGGTGAATTGGACCCCCTCTGACAGAGATGGTTCTCTGCAGGGCTCCATGAAGATGATAAATGTTTATCAGGAATAACCTAGCTAGACTTTTGGCAGTTGGGATTGTTTGGCAAGGTATAAAGTGTGCCTGTTTTGAAAACAGGTCTGTTACGACCGAAATGACAGAATTCTCCACACTTTCTGGCAGTTCTACAATAAAGTCCATAGAAATCTCTCTCTCTCCAGGGTGCTGAAGGTTCAGCTACCTTCTGTAAGAGTCCTGGGATTTTCCCTTGATGTCTTTTAGCTGCTGCACAAATAGGGCAGCTAATTACATAGCTCTCTATGTCCTTTTATAGTGATGGCCACCAAAATTGTCTTTTAATTAGATGTAAAGTTTTCACAAAACTAAAGTGTCCAGCTAATCTTGAGTCATGGCGCCTTGCCATTGTGCAGTCTTGGCTTGCTGGAACATACAACTTCCCTCCCACCCAAGCTAGGTTATCTTTCATCAGGCAGCTGGATTTGTGGCTCAAAAAACATTCCTTGGTGGTCAAAGCTTCTTTAAAAGTTTGGGTGGTGTCATTGTCCATCAATGTTTCTTGTTTTGCCTGGGATCTGGTGAATACTTTCGCAGCTAGCTGATTGTTTTGTACTATGGGTTTCATTATGTCTGGCTTTGTGCTATTGTATTGCAGTTTTCTGGATAGTGCGTCTGCCAGACACCCCACCCCCCACCCCAGGAGATATCTGAGTGTAAATTCAAACCATTTAAAGTACTGAGCCCATCGTACTTCTTTTGGGGAGAGTTTCCTTGGGGCCTTTAAGGTTTCTACATTTTTATGATCCGTCCAGACTTCAAAAGGGATCTTACTTCCCTCTAGGAAATGTCTCCAGGTTAAAAGGGCCCATCGAACTGCATACGCCTCTTTCTCCCAAATGGGCCCACCTTTGTTCAGATTCATTCAATTTTTTGGATGTGTAAGTGCATGGTTGTAATTGGCCTTTCTCATTTTTCTGAAGCAGGACAGCCCCTATAGTCACATCGCTGGCATCTCCTTGCATGATGAATGGTTTCTCTGTGTCCTGGTGCTTTAGGGTTGGTTCTGCTGAAAACAGCCGGTTAAGTTCTTCACATACAGCTTTGCATTCCATTGTCCAGTTCAAAGGCTGCTTCGGTTTTGGGTTACCCTCCCCCTTCGTTTTTAAGAGCTTGGTGATGGGGAGAGCAATCTGGGCGAAAGCAGAGATAAACTGGAGGTAAAAGTAGGCGAACCCCAGGAAGCCTTGTAACTGTTT